AAGAAACTGACTTTAGTAGGAGAGTTGAGATGCAAGCACATAGAATATCTCCAAGCCAGCATATATATAAGAATGACCACCTTTCGGCTCCTACGATTATCACCACGGACCGTGGCTGTGACGGGCTGCTCCCCGGCATTGGAGAGCTGTACTGTCTGCTCCTGTCACCAGCATCCTCCCATTATTCCTGTGCCCATGGAAACTTCTGGGAACAGCTCCTGAGGCAGCAGCTCCTAAGTGGATCCAGGCCCACAGGCTGAGATACAATGCCTGTTCTTAGCAGCCCTTCTCGACTCCACTGTTCCGGCTACACATGTAAACTACTCGGCAAGCTGAAATTCTGATGCCCAGGCCACATTCAGACCAATAATCAGAATCTCTGGAGTGACAGATGAAACTACTATTTTAAGAAATCCTAGCAGTAATTCAAAAAAAGATCACTAAAGCAAATTTGAGGTGGAGAGCCTGTGTTCTACGATGCATCTGATTTGACATTGCAGAATATTTGAAGACATTGCTCTCTCTTCCCGTACTTCATAAGGATGACTTTTGAATTTTGTATTCCTCCTGTCCTGGTCACCTGAGTATGAGAATTATAGGTATGTTTTACCATCAGGGTCACAGGTGTGTGCAACCATCAGGGTCACAGGTGTGTGCAACCATCAGGGTCACAGGTGTGTGCAACCATCAGGGTCACAGGTGTGTGCAACCATCAGGGTCACAGGTGTGTGCAACCATCAGGATCACAGGTGTGTGCAACCATCAGGGTCACAGGTGTGTGCAACCATCAGGGTCACAGGTGTGTGCAACCATCAGGGTCACAGGTGTGTGCAACCATCAAGATTACATATATGTGCAACCATCAGGATCACAGAAGTGTGCAACCATCAGGATTACAGATGTGTGCTATTATCAAAATTACAGGTGTGTGCTATCATCAGGATTACAGGTGTGTGCAACCGTCAGGATTACAGGTGTGTGTTACCGTCAGGATTACAGGTGTGTATTACTGTCAGGATTACAGGTGTGTGCTACCGTCAGGATTACAGGTGTGTGCAACCATCAGGATTACAGGTGTGTATTACTGTCAGGATTACAGATGTGTGCTACTGTCAGGATTACATGTGTGCCATCATCAGGATTACATGTGTGCCATCATCAGGATTACAGGTGTGTGCAACCATCAGGATTACATGTGTGCCATCATCAGGATTACATGTGTGCCATCATCAGGACCACAGGTGTGTCTCGCCATCAGGGTTACAGCTACCATGCTAGTTTCAGGGTCTGTGTACCGTCTTTCCTGGAAGCTCTTAGTGTTTCTCTGCTGGGTCACCTGTCCAGGAATCGTATTTCATTTTAGGAAACAGTTGAGGGAACCCAGTTAGGAAATGGATTTGCAGACTGATGCAAGCCCCTCCGATGTAAGGGAGGGGACAGAATTCTGCAGTCTCTTACCTTAGTGCCATTCACCTGCTTTCGGGCAAGTATAACCTCACACAGACAGGAGCCTTCAGATCTCATTCTCTCTGTCCTTGACAAATAGGGGATGAAAAAGACGACAGTGCCGACTGTGGCCTCCATCTGATAATCCAGCGAGCTTCATTAATGACTTGTCTTTGGGGAAAGGAAACCCGGCCTGGAAACTGGAGCCACCCTATCTTTCTCACCAGGTCATGAGAATGTCTAGGGTCCAAGTTCATGTCCTTTGTTGTAGCACTTGGAGCGGCTGGGGTGTGTATTCCCAGGGGCATGCCTCTGTCTGTGGGGCTTCAAAACGCATTTCAGGAGAAGGGCAGAATTTGCATTCACTTGTTTGTTTTCTTAAAGAAGTTTTTCAGCTAAAAACAACAAGCACTGACACAGTCTTTTCAGTTCAAGAAAGGAGGCTGACTAAATACCAAATTTTAGACCAGACCCTCCCGTTTCCTCCATGGGAAGAGATGCCAAATTTCTATTACCTGGAATTTATACTGGCTACGACATTTTTCATCATTTGAGGCGTAGGAATGCAAAAGGAGAACTACTTTTTTGTTGTTGTTGTTGTTGATAGAACACCAGCCATCTTGGTTAGAGTTCCCATTGCTGTGATAAGCCCATTGCTGTGACAAGACCCGAAGCAATCTGGGCAGAAAGGATCTATTTGGCTTACATGTCTCCATTATAGTCCATCATGAAGGGAAGCCAGGGCAGGGGCCGAAGCAGAGGCCCTGGAGGAACACTACTTAATAGGTTGCTAAACTTGCTTTCCTATACAACCCAAGACCCCTGGACAGGGATGATAACCACCCACAGTGAGCTTCCACATCGGTCAAGAAAATGCCCCACCCTCCTGTCTTTAGGCCAATGTAATGGAGCCAATACATCCACCAAGAGCCTCTCTTCTCAACTAACACTTGGCTTGTTTCAAGTTGACAGAAATCAGTCAGTTACTAGCCTTCAAATATAAGCACAGACTGACTATCTTGGTTATTTTTGTATTTCAAAGGTGGCTCCCAGGAGTCAGGACTGACTTTAAAGTCACAGGCCCGGGACCTTCAAGGTGTGAGCCCTGCAGTCATTCTGACCTTGGAGTTAGCCTCAGAGCTTACCCTGCCGCCATCCTCCACCCAGTACCGCCAGTTGTCTCCTAACAAGTTTTGCCGCGTGAAAAGTCATGACTGAAATTAGATATGAATAACAAAGTGGGTTTTAACTGCTAAGTTTTAATTCTGCTAAGCCTGACTGAGGGGTAGTATGAAGCATTGAAGAAGAAACGGAGCCTGACAAATGGAGTCTAAGATGCTTCAGCACCCCACTTTGCTTGGAATGTTTTGCAAAGACAGATGCACTTGGAAGGCTTGGGCCACCCACCAGTGAAATATCCAGGGCCTGAGGGAGGCAGCTCAGTGGCTTTTGTTTATATTATCCTTCTGTCTCTCATAACATCGTGGGCTGTGCTGTTTCAGAGGCAGATTATTGGGGAGGTCTTCGTAGGCCATTCTGGCCTCTGTGGACAGAGGTTTTGTTTCTCTTTGTGGTGCTGGTGATCAAACCAGGGCTTCTGTATGCTACAGTACCAGCCTCAGTGAGACTCTCCCTTCTTCCCTTTCTCCCTCCCTCCCTCCCTCCCTCTCTCCCTCCCTCCCTCCCTCCATCTCTCCCTCCCTCTCCCCTCTTGCTCTCTGCTATGTGTTCATGCTTGTGTGCACATACATGAATATGGGTATTGGTACATGTGTGCACATTTGTGTGGAGGCCAGACGTGGATGCTGGATGCAAGTTAGCTATCTTTCATTGTGACTCCTCATGCTTCTACTTCTGCTTCTGCTCCCCCCTCCTCCCCTCCTCCTCCTCCTTCTCCTCCTCCTCTTCCTCCTTCTTTTTGACAAGATTTCTCACTGAACCTGGAGCTCACTGATTTAGGTAGACTGGCTGGCCAGTGAGTTCCAGGAACCCTCCCCCTCCCCAGCAGGAAGCTTATAGAAGAGAGCCACTACACCCGGCTTATTTTGAGAAACACAAGTTGAACACCGCATCCACATTTTCCAGAGCAGCGCAGTTTTAGATTAAAAACCAAGCCCCCTGCAATGTTTGCCTCAGACAAGTTCCAAGCGCCAAGAAACACCAAGAGAACGAAGCGCATTTAAGGAATCAGCCCATGGCCTGGAGGAAACCCATTCCTTGGCATCTTCCCTGAGTGTCCACCTGCAGCGTTTCTCTGCAGAAACTGCTGCTTTGGGAATAGACATGTATGAGGTATGAGTCACGCTGGAGACCCAAGCCAGGATAGTTGAAGGCTGAAAGTCTTGCTTCTTAGAGCCACATAGGTCAGTGGGAAGCTATGCAGGTAAACAAGCCTGAGCTGTTAATCATGCTGATAGGGGCCACCCCGGACCTGGGAAAGAGTGAGCCAGAGTCTGGAAGACAGCTGGAAGGTGGTGTGGAAATCTCATTGCTAGCACAGGCAGCAGGAGGGTAGAAATGCCTGAGGAGGACAGAAGCTGGGGTGAGAGACTGACCAAGTCAGCAGAGCACCCCAGGGTTAGAGCCTTGAGGTTCTGGACCATCAGAGGTAGGGGGACAGTGGGATTTGGCATGAGAATGCGATATGTCAAATTGCAGGGTTGGGCTGAACAAAATCTTTTAAAAGTCAGTTTGAAAACTGTGGTCCTGCAGCTTGGCTTGGGGAGAATAAACAATCTGCTAAAGGTCATGGTGGAACCAGGATTTGAACCCAGAGATTTCCAGTTCTGACGTCCAGCTTTTCAGTCTCCGTGCTCCCCCACAGTCCTCTCTTCCCACGTTAATATCTTGGTGGCACGTAGCTCCTTAACAGGGACCCACAACTTAGAGACACAGGTGAGAGTTTTCCTACACTAACGTTAGCCCACTTACGAAACTGCCTTCAGCCTGTGAGCAGTGAAACAGGGTGAGGGACCAGAGCCACGCTCACAACAATGAAGCTGTAGAACACAGCCACACTCATAATAGAGAAGTCATAGAATAGAGATCCTCACTCACAACGGCCATAGACCATGAGGAAAGTTAGCTCCCCAAACCAGTTGTAAATTCAAATCTTCTTGGTAAACTCCTAAAAAACCTCCAGCACCTTCCCCAACCTACCAAATCAGAGTCTTGCTTTCAGACAGTGGTTCTCAATCTTCAACACAGCTCCTCACGTGGGGGTGACCCCCAACCATAAAATTATTTTCACTGCTACTCCTTAACTCTAATTTTGCTACTGTAATGAATCATAATGTAGATATCTGTTATGCATGATGGTCTTAGGGGACCCCTGTGACAGGGGTTGAGAGCCACGTGTCGGAACCACTGTTTGCAGCGCTTCTCTGTGAATTCTGGACCTCATGGCAAAATACTCCAATCTGAGAGAGCTTTTGTGATCACCAGTACTATTGCTAACCACGGGCCCTGCACTCCCCACTGGTTGCGTGTTCTGTGAGAGAGCTAGTAACTATGTCATCATCTTTTTAACGCAGAACATTGAAGATGAAGAACGGAGGCTCAGAAAGGCTGAGGACCCGCCCATAGCCATACCGTGGCTGTGGTTCATGCTCAGACACACGGCTGATTCTACAGCTACAGTAGAATGAACTGAGTAGCTGGGAAAGTGTCGTGTTTAGAAGATGCTGGGAGAAAAGTCCTCCATGCTCTTCTGGGACAGCATCAACACTTCAGCCTCACACGTTGCTTGGGAAGCAATGAGAGACTGGCTAAGGCCAGAAGCAAATGGAGGCACTCAGAGGTCAGCTCGGCTGCTGTGTGGGGAGCTGAGTAACAGTCTTTGCTGGGCGTTATACCGCAGCTTGCTTCCCTGGGCTTGTGTCTGCCTGGGCCTCATACGAAAGCCAGGCAGAGGCATTGAAAAGGTTTCCTGGAAAGCACGGGGACTTGGGAGTTGGTCCTCAGGCCTTCACTTCTCCTGCTTTCCGTCAGTCAGTCTTCACGTTTATAAATAACGAGTTTCCATATACCCCACAGTTGGAAGATTGAGGCTCCCTCCAACACCATAGGCATCAATTCTCTAGCCACACACTGGACAGCCGGCCAAATCTATGACAATCTCACATCGACTCTGACGAGGGCCTTGAGGTAGTCACAGAACTGCCATGCTGGGCCTTAGGTAGTAGGGAAACTGGCTGACCCAGGTGGTGAGTAACAGGAAAGGCAAAAGCGTCCCTCAAGATCACCTGAATGACTGTGGATAAACCCCAGGGGCATGGCTTCTCACACAGTGCAGACCACAGGTCATGGCTGTATCGACAGGAAACATATGGGAAGGAAGGGTTGTCAGAATTCCTCTCCCTCAGCCCTCCTATTCATGAGTCAGCCACCGCAGCTGAGCCACAATTTGTCACTCTCCTCTGAAGCACCCCGCAGCTCTGGATTCCAGGGACACAGTCAGGATGCCGAGGGTTCCCACAGGAAAATGCTGTGTGCTTCAGTGCTGGCCACGAAGTCCCCACCAAGCCTGGCTGAGCGTTTGCTTTCTTTCTTTCTGACCACAGCCACTTCCCCAAAGACATTTAAAACCACTTCATCATCTCCATTCAGCTTATGGTCTCAGCAGAGGGATGGCACCAAGGATACAGCACAGCGAAAGCTAGACATTTAGTTACTTCCGGTACATGGGATGCTGATCTGGGAGCTTGGGGAGGATTCAGCTCATTTAATTCTTCTAATGGCTCCATTATTGATCTTGTTTTGTAGGTTAAGAAATTGAGCATAGCATGCTTACAAAATCTTCCCAAGCACTCATGGTTTGGCAGGACAAGGCCAGAATTCGAAACTACAGCAAGGTTTGTGCCAGGGCCCCTCTGGCTAATGCCGTATTCTATCATAGCATTAAAACACTAGGCAGGAACAGCATGGGGAAGGAAGATAAATGGAAGAGAAATGAGAGGGTATAGGTGGCATTGAGGATGCTGAGATTTGGGGGGGTTGTAGTGTTGGATGTTGAGATTTTGGGGGGTTGTAGTGATGGAGAAGGAGTATACAGAGGTGTCTGGCCTGTGGACCAAGATTACTCCTGAACCCAGGGGTGAGAGAGAACAGTGCTTAGGGGACCCAGAGGGAAAGACTGTGTCTATCTGTCTATCTGTTGCAGTCACTCAGGGGTTCATGAATTGAATGTGTTTACCAGGAGCTTTAGGACTCTCTAGGCACCAGGAGGTGTAGTTCTTGGGGTCCTTAGAAAGGAAGACTATCTCAGGGTAAAAGCAAAAAAGCATAGAATCGATAGTGAGGGGTTGTGCTTTCTTCAGTTACAGGCCAAAGGAAACAGTCGGAGAGCCAGACTGGAGAAGTCTGATTAAAGAAGACTCTCGGCAGCCTACAATGAAAACAGACTAAGACATAAAGCAGGCAGTAGTTGTGACTCTTCCAGAGAGCACAGTGTGTTGCAGAGAAAAGCCTTTGGAAGCTGTCTCAGGGTAGGGCATGGGGGCTGGCTGGTATAGGAAGAGAGAAGCAAGCAGCAAGGCCAGGGAGTGGGTGTGGGACTTGCAGGCAGTTCACAGAGAGACACATGAACTGTGATAGATGTACCCTGGGGAGGCAGGTTTGACAGGGTGTTGGGACAGAGACCAAGTGGGCAGGCAGAAAGTATAGGAGTCATAAGCACAGAGGTGCCCATCCGGTTGGGTTGGAAAACAGGCTGACAGGAGGCAGATTATACTTTTTCACAGTTTAGGAGCCTTGGCCTTGGAACAGACACCAGGGATGAGCCAGATAAGGTGGACTTCACACAGGCTGTTGGGGACCAATGGAACAGCCTGTGGCCATCACACAGAAGGAAGCCATGACATCATGAGGACACCTAAGCAGTAATTCTTCACTCTAGAAAGGATCGTGCAGTTTTCTCTTGTGTGGTTGTGAAGGGTATTCAGAGGAGACGGGTGAAGAGTACAGACCCTGGAGCCTGAGCGCTCCACTCTGAGACCCTGCTGTGCAGCCGCACTTGAACAACTTTCTCCATCTCTCTAGGCCTTAACTTCAAGATAGCGACGATAATAGCACCCGACTCCCAAAATGATCGTGAGTTGTGAAATGCTAACACGCATACAAAACTCAGGGTGGTGCTTGGAACACAGGAAGCCGTACAGCAGGAGGCGGTGTCGTAATTGCCCATGAGCACGATGCGTTTCTGTCGTCAAGCCGGGCTCACGTGCTTGCATTTCCTGTCTACCGCGGTGATGGGTGGAGCTGCACGTTCACTGTCTAGGCTGGGAAGTCTAAGCGCCACACAGTTAAGCAGTTGGCTTACATTTGGTGGCGTAGCTGGGAAGAGAGCAGGCCATCAGATCTCTGACCCCTCGTTACCTTTGGAGGACGGACAGGAGGAGAAAGAACGGCTTGCTCTGGTACTCCTGGTATATTGTTAGATGGGTCCCTACATCCTGTTCCCAATATACTCCCTCATATCAAAAGCCATCTTGGGCATGAAGAATAGAAGGAGGGAAATAAGAGGAGAGAAAAAAAAAAGGAGAAAGACATACAATGTGAAAGAGACGGATGTTTCCACTACCCCAATAAGAATGGTGGCTCTTATTCAAATCTTCCTCGACTGGGTTTATGGAGACAAAGCCCAGGGTCCCTGCCTCACTGCCAGTCCTGTCAGGATGGTCTTGTCGCTTCTAACCTGCCAGCAACCTGAGCAGCTCCCAGGCTCCCAGGCTACGTGCTGACATCCTGAGAGCGGGAATCCTGCCAGCTAACGGATACATGCCCCTGAGGACCACATCTAAAACCTTTGGCCTCTTCTAATTAGTTCACAAACCATAGGATGTTCTGTCTTACTCCACACTCCACTTACCTGCCTCACAACAAAGCTGTGCACTTCGGTTTAAAATTAACTTACTGTGCCTTCTAAAATAAAATAAATAAATAAACCACCTGCCAAGCAAAGGATGTCTGGGAGTGTTTTAGTCCTGCGCCCTGGGCATTGTCTACCACACAGAGAGCCAGAGTTAGAGAGGATCACATTCCCACGCTGGGAAATGGTTCTGGGTCTTTTGTTTGCTTCCTCTATTTTGTTTCTTATTCTGAAGAGGAAAAAGAAAAGATAGCAACTGGTTTGTCTATTGTCTTCTTGGGGAACGTCTCCTAGGTCCCTTTGAACATAATACTCCTAACTAACTCTTGGAGAACAAGCTTAAATTAAAGTTGCTGATAAGGGACAATAAAAGTTCATTTCGGCAGAATTCTCCATTTTTATTGACTTGCAGTCATGAGACGAAAATGATCAAAACCCGAGGAACCTCAAATGACTATTTATGAGGGGGCAAGATAGTATTGCTGGCTCTGGATGTCACTAGGCACTGTTAAAAAAAAACTGGAAACGTCTCATGGAGTTTGGAGTGTTGTAGGTTACTTTAACGTGTCCCCAAAGCTGTGAAACCATGGCGACAGATCCTACACTCCACTTTTAACCAACAACTGGACCCCTCTGCCCTCTCTTCATTAACATAACGAAGACAAATACCGCCATGCTAAAGATTTTTGAGGCGGAATATCTGTAGTCCTCTAATTCACCTGCGGCACCCTGATTCTTCTTGTGATGGCAACAGGAACAGGGTTTTGGGTGATAATGGGGCTAAGATGAAAGCAGACTTTGCTTTGGGATTTGTATCCTTACAAGGTGATGGAGTTCTCTGCACATCTGCACATACCAGAGGAAGGCCACATGAGGACATAGTGAGAGGGATCTAGGAGGAGGACCCTTGCTCACACTCAGCCATGTAGACACCCCGATCCCACACGCCAGTCTGTTGGTTTGCCCACCAAGGCTGTGGCCCGATATTCCATTATAGTAGTTGAATCGAGATACAAGAACCTGTGTCACTGGCCAAAATGTGTCATTTGCCAAAGAAGGTGGATGATGCTATGCTCAGCCAGGAACAAGGATTCCTTTACAGAGGCTGAAGATGGGCACAATCTGCTAATTGACAGAGCGTGGAACTGGAAACTCTGGTCTTTGGCTTGATAATTTTTCTCCCTGGGTCTTCCAGGTCTGTCTTGCCATAAATGGTCTTGTATGTGGGGAATGCTTGGAGCTACAATATACACGGTGTCAGACATGGATGGCAAAGACCAGTTGGGAACCTGGGACCCCGAAAGCCCAGAACTCAAGCATTCGAGGGTGGGAGGAATGGGTTGAGCTTCATGGCTGGGGCTTACGATGCCTGATCTGGGACCTACAGGGTTGAAATCTCTGTACCACCCAGGAACGCATGGCTTCTCTGTGTCTCAGGGGAGTATTTAACCTGTAACATGGGAGCAATTACTGCATATTCCCCTTGTGGATTTTATAAGCTGTAAAACGAGATAACATCTGTGAAGTGCTTTCAGGGCACCGTGCGGCTCCGAGTAAACACTTGTAAGGAGAAGGACCAAGGTCATGGCCTGGATGGGCTCGGGGTAGCAGAGCCTTGCCTGACTATGCTGCCGATGCTGATCACAGACTCCAGTGAAAGACCACAGTGACAGCAGCCCCCACACCCGGAGCCGCCTGCAACAGCCACGGTTCTCTACCCCCTGTGAGGTTTCAGAAAGGGAAACTGAGGCTCAGAGAGGATATAGTTCAGCAGAATATACACACATTTTGAACTCAGAGCTACTTGTCTGTACTTTGGCATTTCTGTTTGCTGTGTGTGTAAGATCTTGGGAAAGTTTTAACTTTTCAGATCCTGAACCTTCTCGTTCTAAAAAAGAAAAGTTGAAATGGCAAATGACTGCCTTAAAAGGGGGATTAGGTGAAAAAGATGACCGGAAGGCGTTCCTAAGAATGTTATGTTTTCCTTTAATTACTCTTCCCGTAAGCTACGCAGGCATTGACAAATGGTAGAGTGTTCTCCAACAAGGCTGTTGGAGAAACCAGAGGGGTGGGTTTCAGAGAGAGGGAGAAGTTAACAATGTGGACGAGGTGCACAAAGAACTTATTGCTGGCCTTCCTTTGTCCTCAATATATGGAAGGAGGAAAGAAGTAGGAAATGGGGTAGAAACGAAAATGGAAAGTCAACCCTGGCGTCTCTATCTAGAACCTCCAATCCGTTTCAAGACTGACCAAGGGTAAGTGTTGTATGGAATAAGAATCTCTACAGGGACATTTAGGGAGGCCTCATTATTTCATCCAATCCTCAGCAAGCTTGTACAGTCTGCCATGAGCATGAAGCCACTGGCCAGATCTGTAGGGCTGCAAAATGCTATAGAAATGGCATTCTCTTTAGGGCATAAGACAAAAATAAAAGGAAAAAATGCTTCTCAGAAGTGCAATAAGGGTCGCTGTAGTGGGGCGCACACGGATACAAGGTGCAAAACCCCAGGTATTTGATCCGGGGCTGTCAGCTTAAGAGAAGGAAGGAGATGGAAGAAACTGTGAGTTTGGTGTGCCCAGGAACTAGGAATACACAGAGACATCAGCTAGATTGAGCCTCCGCTTCAGACGAGCCATGGGTGGTATCGAGGGCTCTGTCTTTTGTAGTATAGGAGGAAGAGAGTCACAGAAACCTTTCTTAGAAGGTGAGGTGTTTTGAAGAGCGTATCTGGTAGAGCACCCTCTAACCGGAAGTTGCTAGAGATAAGTAGAAGTTGGACCATGAAGTGCGAGAAACTGGAGACAAGGAAATGAGTATGAAGACCCTGGACACGCCCACAGGAAGAAAGGAGAGGGTTCCGAATCTTTCTAGGCAAGCCCTAAGTGAGGAGTCTGATGATACCAGAGGCTGGGCTTGAGATGCAGAGATGGTAGTGAATTCACGTGCGAATGCGTGAACACATACAGGTGTGCACAGGTGTAAACACACGCACAGAACCTGCTCATTCACTCAGTGTCGCCTGTGACACCGTGGTCTGTGTCCTGACAGGAGCCTCCCTGGCCTGGCTCCGGCTGCCAACAGGTCGTCTCTTAGGTATGTCGTGCCCTCTTGTTTCTCTGACGCAGCAAACCCAAGTGGCTTCGCATTTCCAGGATAACCTCAAACCCAGAGCTAGAGGTGATGAAGTATATATAGCCTGCGAGGTGGTGCCACTGGGAACTTCCTCTTCCTCCCAAACACTGTAAGTGCAGGCTGTGTAGCTTTGCCTGGACCCAGGCAGCATAGCCAGGCAGGAAGCTTGGGAGCAGGACAACTGTGTTCCCTTCTGTAAACAGACTTCTAAATTAACACGTGAAAGGAAATTAGCATTTACTGTGGATTTCTTTTGAAAAGAAAAGAAAAAAAAAAAAGAAAGAAGAACGGTAATGATTCACAGCACACATCGCAAGGAATAAAAACAAATTAAATGTTTATGGCTTTTATTTTATTATTATTTTTTTGAAGCTGTTCTTCAAAAAAGGACAGAAATGCTTGGAATGATGGGGAGAGCTCATGTAGGGTAGACTGCCTCTGACTCACAGTGCAGCTGCTGATGACGTTGGACCTCTGATTGTCCAGGCTCTGCCTCCTGGGTGCTAGGACTGCTGGCAAGTGGTACTGTGGATTAAAGCCAGGACCTTGTGTGTGCTAGGCAAGCATCCTACCCACTAAGCTACTCTCCTAACTTAGAGTTCCCAAAACGCTTACTAATATAGTGTCAATGTCTGTAAAAGGACCAGAGGTTAAATCAGACTCATTAGGAGCCCGCTGTCCTTTAGATACTCTGAGTGAGCATTTCAGACAGATGTCACTACTTTAGGAGGCTGGGGTTGTCCAACTTCTTCACAGACAGGAAAGTTTGGACAGGAACGATCAGGTAGTTCTTCCCAAGCCCACAAAACCAGGATGTAGCCTGTCAGGATACAAGCCCAGAACCCCTGGATTTCACAGCCTGGGCAGCCTCTCTTGCTTAGCCCACTTCACTCCATCAGAATATGAGAGGCTGTGCTCCCAAATGTGGCTGGAAAGCCCCCAGGAAGTCGCTAGCAGAGTGCATTCCCTATCTCTAAGAGAACTTTAGATTGAAAGGAGCCTTGGCCAGGACTAGCCTGCCACCAGCACCGACGTCCCCAGGTGAGCCTGAGAGTCAGCCCACTCATCCATAATTAGTGTTTTCTTTCTCTACTGCTTAGCACTGTGTCTTGGAGATCAGCTGCATCCTAAAGCAGTCTGTTGCTATTGTTTTCTTAATCATAAAATTCCCATTCTTGCTGAGCTTGAAAGAGAGCTGAAGAATGAAGACCTTTCCTTTAGCAGTGGAAACACTTGCGCGGAGTTTCCCTAGATAATCTATATCAGGAGGAGAAATAAGGAACAATCCAACCACAGCAGAGTGCTTCTATTTATAATTAGTGCTCAGTGGCTTGAGGCACGAAGCTCCCACCCAAGGATAAACATGTCCCCACAGGTTGTTGTTCTCCCGCTGGCCAAATAGACATCTCAGCATCTGAATCTGGACTATAAGGGAAGCCTGCACAGCAAAGGCTCAGGAACACTGTTTGGGAGGAGCCTATCCTGGAAACGGAATCTGAGCTTTGGACCGGTCTGCACTCAGGTGAATGTCCTTTCAAAGGAGCAAGTGCCTTACAGTCTCGTTTACATGAGTCTTCATGATTCTCAACAGAAACCTGTTGTTCTCTTTAAATCGAGAGTCTAAAGGGATTCAAAACCAAGCTCCACACTTAGGCAGGAGGCTTCCTTAAGAGGAACCAGGATATTCTCTTCCGAAGTATGCAATAAGCAGTTTCTCAGTTTTACATAGCTCTAATCGCTACAGCACCAGGGTAGTCCGGGAGAGCTTGCAGTTAGTGGATGTGGAGAAAATGGACTGAGCTGACCTGATTCTAATCAGAATTCCCCTCTAGATAATGTGACCAGAATTTGGATTTGGGCAGAAAGAGTCGGGGAGGCCAGAATTGACCTGAAGCCACAGGCCCAACCTCTGC